ATACCCGACGTAAGATGTTCTATACTTCTCAATTCTTTATTATTTGAGCCTTGTTTATAAAAAAGCTATTGATGACTTTCACCAGCTTTGTTAAAATTGCAAAGATGCTTATATTATATCTACTCTACAATTGGCTGAATATTTCACTTATCAGCATACAACATTTTACGTTGGATATAGTTGCAAATTAACTACATAGTAATAAAACTTTGTTATTGATACCTCATGTTGTTTGAAATACTTTAATAGAAACCGATGTAAGTGTAAAAAATCTGATACAGAGTTCTTCTAACAAACTGGACATAAAAAAACAATCGATAACTCTCTTTCTTATTAGGATATACAGCTCAAACAATAACCATTCATTAGCATTATCTATATACTATAACTGGTAAAAAAATTCACATTTTTCCGAAAACTGATACCAGCTACATGAGCAAATAAATCTTAGGATATCAAGCCGATTGGCCAAATCCATATGTTCATGTACGTTCTGTTTCTCTTCGCTTTCATCTATTTTTTTCTACCTTTATATGATTAGTGTTTTCTCCAGAAAATTGAACTTACGTTCACCCATACTTACGGTTAAAATACAAGAAGTGATTCTTTTCTTCCTCTTTTCTCAATTCTTTACGGAAAGAAGAAGCATAGAGTGCATTTGTGATTTAGACCGAAGAAAAAAATTACAAACAGTATTTAATCCAAAAATAAATAAACAATTCTGAAAATATAAAATTTCAATGGGCAAAAGCTTATTAACAAAACTTACAATGGACAAATCTCCAAATGAAATGGGCAATTGCCCATTTGCCCCTCCCTTCGCTACGCCACTGAGGACAGAGAACATGTCACGCCACATACAGAGTGCCTCTTTTCAAAAACCCAGCACCCGCGTCAGGTATTTCAAACTAATTCTTCATGCAAAAATAAATTTGCTTCCAAAGTCTTTGAAAGACTTGAGAAATCGTACACGTAATGTATAAGGACAGAGAACATGTCGCGCCCCATACAGAGTCAGTTGTTTTCAAAAACTCAGCACCCATGTCAGGTATTTCAAACCAATTCTTGATGCAGCAATAAATTTGGTTCCGAAGTTTTTGAAAGACTTGAGAAATCGTACACGTAATGTGTGAGTACAGAGAGCATGTCGTGCCCCATATAGAGTGCGTTGTTTTCAAAAACCCAGTACCCACATCAGATATTTGAAACCAATTCTTCGTGCAGAAATAAATTTGCTTTCAAAGTCTTTGAAAGACTTAAGAAATCATGCACGTAATGTGTAAGGGTGTGGGGTGTAGGTGTGAGACAACAAGATCCACAACTATACCTCACACCCACACACCGACACCTACATCCCAACCCCACACTCTCAATAAGACAGCTAGTATCGATGACTTATGTCTATCCTATCTCAAACACATTAATATCCCATCTCTAGTAACTCCACAATGCAATTAAGATGATACAACCGAATTCAGCTAAATTTCAAAAGAAACAGTACGATTACTTCATGCTGTTTTCACGCTATCAATCATTTTTTTAAAAATCACTTCAAGAAAACATTTAACTAACTGTTATAAACGATCGGACTTCCTATAGATAATAGCAACCGTCCTCAAGATTTAATAAAATAAAATTGAAAATATTTCGGCATCTTTATCGTTCCACTTAATAGGGGGTGGGCGTGGCTCTGGATAAATTAAAGATTAACACTTACACCCACACCCACACCCACACTCACACCCACACCCACACTCACACTCACACCCACACCCACACTCACACCCACACCCACACCCCACACCCACACCCACACCCACACCCACCCACACCCACACCCACACCCACACCCACACCCACACCCACCCAAATCTCAACTAAGCTAGTCTCAAATAGGCTCAGTGGATTATCCACTGAGCCTATTTGAGACTAGCTTAGTTGAGATTTTGATGGACTTTCGGGTCAAAAACTGATTTTTACGACCTCTAGAAAGTACCTCAGATCTTTCTTATTATCCGAGTACTTTTTCAAAATAATATGATATTTGTAATCAGCACACATAGCGCTATCAAACTAGAAAGACTTCTGATGGAAAAGAGAAAAAAAACATTTTTCGAAACCTGAGGGGGACTCCAGGGGTCAAAAAATTGAGTTGTGATAAAATACAAAATAAACTTGTGAAAAATAATCAGGGCTCAATGCTGATTATTAGGGTAATAAAATTAGGCTTATCTGGTTTGGTACAATCAGTCCGTAATTTGACACACCTCCTTTATTCTAAAAAAAAACGTACAAAACGATTTCATTATTGTAACATTGAAAAATATAATTAGATGAATCAATTTTATCGAAAACAAATCAGAGTTCGCTTTGCTGATAATTTCAATATTGTCTTCAGGCAATCGATCACAGCAATATAAAATAAAGTCAAATATTAAAATGAGCTTAACTAATTACATAGCTATAACTTGAAAAATGGTTGCAATCATGTTATAATAGATAAGATTATTTTAAATCGATTGTAAATAAATAATGTGTCAAAATAATTTTATTTTTATTGGAATAGTGAAATAAAGTAATTAAATAAAATTATTTTAGTGTAATTTGAATGTATATAAATAACTCTAATACAATAGTTTTATTTTAATCGAACAAAATGAATAATCACATTCAATTAATTTCTGTTAAATATAATATTAAAAAATAGGCATTAGGTTAAATCGATTTTGGTCTAAAATAAAAATACAATAAATCTATTAGATTAATTTCATTTTAATTGATAAAATATTCACATTGAATTGCTTTTATTCTAGTATAACATAAATTAAGTGATATCTGTGAAATAAAATTAAAAATCTAGTGCGATTAAATCGATTTCATTGTATTTTAATCAGTAATAAATAGATAATAGTATTAGATTATTCTAATTTAACGGAAAACAAGCCAATTATTGATATTTAATGGAATTTATTTTGGTTCACATTGATTTAAAATAAATTAAAAAAATAAATATCATTTTTTTCTAATTAAAATATATCATGAAAATATTAAAAAACTATTCGATGAAATAGAAAAACAGTAAAATAAAATCAGTAGAATTTTCATTGTATAAAACGAAACTGAAATAATTTTCAAAATTTGTATCTGAATATAAAATAAATTAGTCGTATTTTGAAAAAAATACTATGTATAACCTTACCCAACCGAACTGAAACGTATATAACATGATTGTAACGGCTTCCCGCCTCTTTATATAATCGACTGTGACCATTATCGTGTTAGAAGTCCTCTATGTTGAAGAGTTAGAATGAGATAATTTTGAATAATTTCATCAAAAAATAAAAAAAGATAATACTTAATCGTATTTCTAGACAAAAATATGGAGAACGCTTTTTTTCTATGAGCGTAAATGACTAAACCAATTAGTGAGATATCTTCATTAACCAACAATAAGTTTGTTTAAATCAAAAGAATACGATTAGTAATTTGATTTTCAGAGAGAGAAGTATCACTCAAAGGTATATTTTTAATTCGAAAAGACGTGAGTTTTAATTAGAACACATTCAATTCTTAAATAATTATTTAAACTCATAAACTGTATGGTTATAAAAAAATAAACTTGCATAAGAAAAACCTTAATTATGATCTTACAATATCATACAATATCTTATAAGATTCTGATCATCAGATTTTGCAAGAATCTTACAGCAAGAATCATATAAGATTTGTAATAGCATCTTACAGTAAGAAACATATCAAATCTTACAGTAAGATATTTGTATGATTCTGCAAGCCCAGGTCGAGCAATCAGATAGTAAGATCAAGTATGGATTCATGTATGACCATATCCGATCAGACGTCAGAATCGTATATATTCATGTAAGATCATACAAAAAACCATACAAAAAATCGTAGTCTCTGCGATCTGATATCAAGTCGTATGGTACGATTCTTGTATGATCCAACAACATGGTCTGATATAATGATATAGAATCGTATACTAATAATTCCCCTGATACACTCAGAAACATACATAATTGCTAATCTTCATCCACCTTCATCAATTACACTTCAATCCAACCTTAAATAACCATGTAAATCGATTTAAAAACACAAATCTACAGCTACCTACACTCCTCAACCCAGGGATACCTAGGACTCAGCCATAGGTACTTCTGCGGTACTTAGGACTCACTCCAAAGTGTTTCTGGCACACGTAAAACTGACTTCTAAGTACCACAAAGGTAGATTGGACTCACTTTTCAGTACCCCAGCCGTACTTAGGACGACTTTTAAATACTCCAGGGTATATAGGACTCACTTGTAAACACCCAAGGTATACCTAGGACTCACTCCTAAGTACCCCAGAGCTACATTGGACTCAGTTTGAAGTGCCCCCGGGGTACCTAGAATCCACTTTTCAATACCCAAAGTATACCTAGGACTCACTCCTAAGTACACCAGAAATAGATTGGACTCACTTTTAAATACTCCAGGGGTACCTAAAATCCACTTCTAAATACCCCAAGGTATATAGGACTCACTTGTAAATACCCAAGGAGAACCTAGGACTCAGTTTTAAGTACCCAAGTAGCAATAGGAGTCACTTCTAAATGACCTAAGGGTACCTAGCACTCACTCCTTAGTATCCCAAGGCTGTCTAGAATCCACTCCTAGGTACGCGAGTGGTATATAGGCCTGACTTCTGAGTACCCAAAGGTTACCTAGAAGTCGTGCCTAGACATGCTAGGAATATATGGAACGTTCTCCTAAGTACTATTTTATGTGTTGTCAATATAGAAACATTACAATAGAAGTTGAAATGTTAGATGCGAGGAATATGGAAAAATGGAATATTAATTTAAAATTTTTGAAGTGATAAATTTGAAACAATAAATGAAAAGTGTAATCACGTTGGCCATCGGTGTAGAAAATTAAAAATTGAAATTTGAATGTTGTATATGTTTGTAAATAGAAACGTATTAAGCATAAGGAAGCGTTTTCTATGATATGACCAACATGAAAAAATGTGAACAAAACTAAGCTTGCGGATGCTAATGCGTTAGAGAGAGAAGGAAGGCAATTGGAATACTCAATTCTGTTTTTTTTAGGTACTTCCTCAGAGTAAAGCCGATCGAGTTAATAATGCTCGAGGAAGTGTTATGTAGAGCTGACCATTTACGATCAAATAAGAATAGACAAGACTGATTGTCCGCAATAGTATCTGTTTCTTATTTCAAGATTCTGATAGGGTTTTTTAAGATCGAATAGGAATCATACAGTTTGATCGTGTTAGCTTCTTAATCTTTGATTCTTGCAAGATTTTTGGCTGACATCTTACCGTCAGAATCTGATGAAATCTTCAGAAACGCAAACATATTTGATATGATAGTAAGATCATATGAAAAATCTTGTACGAATAAGATCTTATACAATCTTGCAGGATCTGATGTCTGCTTTTTCGACCTGGGAGGTCATGCAGTATGAATCTTGCGACATCCGACTGTTGGTAAGATCTTGTAGGATCTTATACGATCTTTGTAAGATTTTTCCACTTGGGAAATCCAATGTTTCCTTTTACGTAGTGGTAAGATAATTTCACTGAATCGATTCCACTTTCTATGCACAACTAAATTGATATTTGATAATTGTTCGTAATACTAAATGCATGACCTAAAAGAGTTTCTTATTTTCTGATCTTTATTTATAGATATGAGAAAAATGATATACGATGAACAAAAAAGAATATAGAAAGCAATACGAAAAATGCGGATAGAAAGAGTTTGTCCTATTATAAAACCCAATGAGCATCCATAATCTTAACGAGGGCCCATGTAACCATAACGAGGATCCATGTAACCATAACGAGGATCCGTGTAACCATAACGAGGGCCCATGTGACCATAACCACCTGGAAACGTGTCTGGTGGACGACCAATCATGCCATCTTTGTTGAGATCAATATGAGTTGCTTTCTCGATCTTGCTTTTTATGCCTAGTCAATGATAAACAATAATATTATACGTGAAAATGAAAATATATCAGAGGTATTCACCTTCGCCTCCAATATATCCATCACGGTTGAAATCGACACCGTATTGCTTCTCAGCATTTTTCACGCCTCCAATATATCCATCGTGATTGATATCGAGACCGGTCTTTTTTTCGATAGTATTGGTGATGAAATCTAAACAGAATTTGAAAACAAGATTCGATTAATTGATCGCACAGTGAAGAGTGTTCGCAATTACAACTTACTCATGTTAGTCGTTGATTGTCGTATTTACGAATGATGAAGAAGCTCGACGAAACTATATACGTATATAAATATGTGATTTTTTTCTTCGATTATTTACAAAAGAGTAACATCATTATTTGAATATAGGAAAAGAAAAAAAATGCGATTTATTACAAAAAGAAATACGTATTTTTCTCATTTCTTATTCATATAGATTCATGTACGATTTTATCATTCTATCGTCATAATTACGCATTATCCGAGCACAAATATTGTATTGATAAGACGGTGCATAGATATCGTGCACACGTGGTCACTATAAATAATGAATATAATCAACATATTTATCTTCATATTCATAGTTGTTTTCGATGATCCTCGCGAGAGGTATTACTTTATCTTTAATTGATGAGATAAATGTAAAGAAAATCTTTATATTTATAAAATAAAGACAGAATAAAGAATAAACAATGTTTTTCTTTTAAGTCATAGAAGAATGAATCAATGATTATGTCATTATATAATATCAAATAAATGCTATTGTATTCGAAAAATGGTGTCTTCACTTGGAAATCATTAAAATAACAGTTGTTTTATTTAAAGTCATTTTCTGTTCGTCCTAAGTATTGATATCTATACTGCTCTAAATAAGTTGAGTTTTTTTCTTGATATTTAATTGTATGAATTTTTATAAAAGCGATGAAAATCTTATCAGTTTTTTTAATTGAAATTGGCTTTGAGAAAAGTCGTTTCATTTCAATTGTAACCATGAGTTCGAACATAATTTGATAAAAACCATATAGAGAATACAATCTTCAAATGATTCTTTTCATAGTATAATTAGCATCTTTTGATGTCTTATCAATAAATGATAACTAAAATGTCATTGAACTATAGGAATTTGTCTACATCCAGTTGACTATTTGAATTAGAATAATCAAACGTGTGATTTATCAGACATAGTATAGTGTTTCTCAAATAAAACCTTTTATATGTTCGCTCATTAATAATTATGAGAAATATGGATCAAATTGAAAAATTTTGATCTCAATTGACTACTTTTAAGAATGCTACAATCAGAAATTGCTTCTTATATTAAAGAAAAAGCTGCAAACAGAATATAGAAGTCTGCTTCTTCACTATATCTAAGCGAACAAATTACCAATATTCAAAATAACTTGTGGAATCAAAAAACGAGAAACAGCAATGCGGTATATGACCGAAGTAGTGTAGTTATTCTCAAGTCTGTGTGAGAATCAATTAAAGGAACATACAGTCTTACTGGCTCATCCTTCACTGAAACTGTATCTGGCAATGCTTTGATTTTATTCGTCGGACTAATAAAACAGATAATAATCTACTCAGTACACGCATCTATATCAAGAAACATTCATCTGCGCTATTCAAATGAATGTAATGGATCGATTCAATTGAAGACTACCATTGGAAAAATCAAGACAGACAACAGTGTGAATGCGATGGTCAAAAGAAGTAACAGAAGCAGTCAAATCAAAGTCAGCATATTTAGTGGAGATGAAAGTCTGGTTTTCGTCGATATTTAGTACGTACAAGTGCGATAAAATCATACGAAATACTTTAATCTATGATACAATGAGAAAATTAGTAGGAAAGAAAGACTTGTGAACGTATTCTATGCTTGAAAAGAATTTTATCGTTTTATTTTTATGCTCTTTATTGTGTATTACAACTCTCTTTGAAAAAAATAGTTTTAATGAGATGAATTCCATATGAAGAATCGTTCAATGTCAACATGAGAACACGTAAACGTGTAACATTGACGCACGATGATCCTTTTTTAGTTCAAAATATTAGGTAAAATGTATAGATTGTAAAGTATATTCTGTCTTCAGTTGATGGTTGAGAATTCGAAACAGCAGTTTCTCATATGTTAAAATAGTATCTTTTAGTATTCTCGCATTTTATCTTCTCCAAACCTTGTCACTTATACATCATGATCACAAAAACATTATCGTCGAGCTATTTTACATCGACATTGCGTCGTTTTCAGATATCAACAGCTTAATGTTAGATAGTGTATCATCTGTGCTTAGATTCAGTATAAAAGTTGAGTGGGTGTGCGTAAGGCTTCGAAATAATTTTCAGTTCAACAACACACACCAATCGTGATGAGAAGTACTCTTAACAATTCCCAAGCGTTGATTTTTTTTTTACTTTTCTTTCTATTGTTCAATTTCGGTCCCTCAACAAATTTGTCTCACCAATATCTCGGCTAAGTTGGAAGATGAGAATGATTCGTCAAGAAATTTTTGAGTTATCGCAAAAAATGTCTTTTTTATTTATGATTTTTTGTGCAAACATTAATCTATCCCGGTTTTCGTAAAAAATTTCTTCTATGATAAAAAATAAATAAAAAGCTCAACTATGATACACCATTCGATAGAGAATTTCACGGACCACAAAATAATATATGAAATATTAAGAAAAAAGAGGATTAAGTGACCCATAGGAAAGACATACTTCAGCTGAAACTGATATATTCACCTGAATACAGGTTCCATAAAAAAAAACGATTTTTTTTAGACAGCACTTTGCAAGTCGATGAGCTGTAAGAACAGCATTTGTCTATATAGATCTCGATGATCTTTATTATCGTTAAACATTTCCACTTTTTGAAGTACACATAACACTCGGATTTCAATCTGACATTTTCACATTTATTTCTTTATGATACCAACTACGCAATGGAATGCATTCGAGCGACAATTCAAAGTCAGATTAAAAATTACCTACCAATAGTTCTGAATGTCATCTCCTGATCTACTCTCATTTGCAAAAGAACGACTACTGAAACCATATGAACTAATCTGTCTATATAAAAACTTCCCTAAAACAGATTTAAATGTATCTTCACGTTTTAACAAAATTCTCCAATGGAATATATTAGCAGAAACCGCTTGTAACGACAAATAAAGATCAACATTATCCAATGTCGAACATTTCCACTTATTTTCAAACTAATCAAACACAGAACGTTTGAAAAATATTATCTCTGTGACATTTTCAAAGGAAAGAAACTCCAGTATATCCAGTAATCTACTTAAGCTAGCAAAAAATCTCATCCAGAAGTAACAAAACTAGGAATAAGAAAATCCACTCTTATTTCAACATATTAAAATAATCATGTACTATATATAAAATACATTTCCGTAGCAACCAGAACGATAAAAGTCTTTCCTAGTATTTATTCAATCAACATCTAGTAATTATTCGCTCATCACTAAACATATATTATCATGTTATTGAATACAGTCATCATCTTTGTGTTGCTCTGGAAGTTATTTTAAATTCCCAATTATTCTTCAACATGTCCAGCATATATTCCCTTTAATCGTAACTAATATCATCGTTCTCCAACTGCAGTATATTGAATATCTACGGAAAATACCAATGAGTAATATAAAAAGATAATGAAAATATTACTTTGTTTTGTTGCAGAGCATTAGCAACATATTGTATCGATTCGATTGTAACTGAGGCCTTGTTAGAATAGAATCTATTTCTGCAATTAAACCGTCCGATGAGACCCTTAAGCAAGATCGAAATCGCGATCACGGTGTGCTTCTTTACTCACCTTCTCACCCTCACTTGACTCTCAAGATAAAAAGAAAGTCATAATGTTTACTAATAATAAAATGAAAACACCAATTATTTCGATTTCCCAAAAAATATCATACTGATATTTCCTTACTTAGTCTTAGATCCAATTTCGTTTTTAATTTGACGTAGAAATACTCTATTGGCAAAAAAATAAGTCTTCCTTAGGACTCGAGGTAACGAGAAAATCATCATTCTTGCTATTTATCATAAGAAAAAGTCAATCTTTCCCATTTTCGAAGAGAAAATTTTGTCAACATCTCTCTTGTTAATGTTGTCTCTGATTTTGGATATTCCTATGTTCGAAACGAAATATTAAGCTTTTTCGGTATTTGAGAGAATATATGGTGAATGTCACTTTGATTAGTATTAGGGTGTAGGTGTGGGTGCGGATGTGTCGGTATGGATGTGGGTGTGAGCCATGTTTCCGATTCATTTCACACCCACACCCATACACCTACACCCACACACTCACACCTACCGACACCCACCCACACCCACACCCACATCCTACTTTGATAAGTTGATCAAAAGAGTGGCTTCCATAAAATTACCAATTTATGACCAGTTTTTTTTTGTCGATGAGTTTTTCCAGGGTTCGACTTGTTTTTTGAAAATCTGGTTTTAATGTAAGATAGGCTAATCATAGATGTATTCATTCCAATATTTAAATTTTGGAACATAGAACTCGAGGTCATGTCCGCCTGGTTGCCCACGGTGCCCCGGGACCGAGGGGAGTGGGAAACTTCCCACGGATTCATTTGGGGTCTCTCGACTAGGCACCTATTCCCCTATGTGTAGCAGCCTTTAAAACTGGTTATCTATGTTCGACGCACTTGAAAATATTATCAGAGTATATTGTTGAAGACTACTTTAGATTTTGGATTTTTTCGGATTTAAAATCCAAAAAAATCCGCTTTTTCCCCCTTGGTATATATATAGGTACACGATCTATAATGTCTTTTTATTTAATTATATGTCTCATTATAATATTTTGATTGGATCAAAAGAAAATGTTTGTTTTGTTAACTATCTCTAATTTTATTGTTAGATATTAATGTTTCATTTTCAGATTACATTCTGCACATTTCAAGTGTCAAAGTTGTTGTTCAGTTCTCTTGATTATTTTCGATTGTAAATTTTTTTTCTCTGTTGTTGTTTGCTTCAGTTACATATAAAAAGTCACGTGTCACAGGAATGAAAAAGTTTTCTTATCAAGTTATGTCGATGTTTTCTTTCCTGGCGTCATTTTTTCCAAGTTATCAAACGTATCGAATGGCGTCGCAAACTCGATCATGTGCTGTTAAAAAATGTGAAGTTTCATCATGTGCTGTATGTCATTGTTGTAAAAATGATCTATGTCTCGATCATTTAAAGGAACATAAAGATCAGCTTAATGCTCAATTAATTCCACTTGGCGATCAAATTAATACATTTTTGGATGATCTTGAGCATTTTGATCCGACTTCTTTATCTACTTTCAAACAACTTGAACAATGGCGCATTTTAGCTCATGATACTGTCGATCAATTTTACAAACGTATGAAATATGAACTATTCGAACAACAAAAGAATAAACCTTTAGAAAAAATTCATGCAACACGAAATATGTTGGATCAACTGATTCAAAAACAAGCGGCGACTCGTGAAAACATAAATTCATTAACGAATGATATTCGATTGATTGAACAAGAAGTCAATGCTCTTCGAAATATTCATATCAAACTATGTCCATTAGTTATTGATGATGATCTAATTATTGCATCAACTTCTGAGAACCGGTAAGTGTGCTAGTTTTATTTCAATAATGTAGAAAATTCTTCTTATAAACATGAAGTTTTTTTTTCAATACAAATAAACCTTATGTAAATCAGTATTATTTATTTTATTTATATAAAAAAAGTGGAGCTGCACTAGTAGCATCATAGATATACTTTGAACAAAGTATACTAACCATTTAGCAATGATCAGACTATTTTCTGTAGAATCTTGCAATTTATGCTTGATCATCAACGTTTTGTTTCATAATAAAAAAAAGCACATGATGAATAAAGAAGAAATTATGTATATCTGAGATTAGACTGCTAAATATAGACTCTTTAAAAAAAATATGGCTTTGTGTAAATATTTATATATGATGACTTTCTAAGTTTTTTGAGGATGCTATATTCATATCTTAGCATGTCTTGTAATTATCATATGTATTTCAATCAAAACTAAGAAATAATAACGAAATTCAAATTTCTTAAGAACACAAAAGCGCACTGGAAATAATCAACTATCACAAACAGTCTCCATCGGTCAAAGAGATTCAGAAGCACTTCGATACAGTATTGATTTTCAAATCTTTGTTCAGGTGATTATAATTGTTTCTTAAGATAATAATCACAACTGGTTTTTTCTTTATACATTTTATGATATTTATTTATAGACACTTTCTGGACAAACAATTATCGTAACGGTAAAATATGTTTTCGTATGAATGTGCATACTTATTGATTTAAGAAAATTCTTAGGTTAAACCGTCTGACACCATATTAGAAATAAAACGTAAAATACAAGAGAGACTAAACATTCCAACTGACCAACAAAATCTCACATGGATGGGCAAATCTCTCAATGGTAATTATGATTGCTTTAATTATATATTATTTACCTTTTTCTTTTTATAATAGACGATTACTATATCACTACTTATGATATACAGAGACAATCTACCATCAACTTATCACTCCGGCTAAGACAGGATCAAAAAAATCAGTCAACATCTTAATTCTTAATGATCAGCTGATGATTACAACATATCGTATAGCAAAGAGAGTGACATTCATTTCAAAGGACTTTTAGCCATTTATTCAGGATTTTTTAATAAAAAATTTGTTTAAATGAATTGTGAAAAATTATAGTTGCCTTTCATTTTAGGACTTTGTTTAGAGTAACTTAGCTGACAATGGAGCGGTCTGTACTGATAAGCTAGCCGGACGACCGTGTTGGGTGAAAACGATCACACTCAGTGAGAAACTCATGAATTTAAAATATGAGCTGCTGATGGCTTACCCGAGCAGAGGTATTCAGTTTTAAAGTTTTGCATTAATTGAGGATTGAAACATGATAATACATGAAATATCGACATCAGCTTTTAACATAATCATCAGATTTACTAAGAAGGTTAATCTAAATGGTATCAGGAAATGTCATCTTGATTTTGAAAATGCATTTCTTAGTAAATCTGATGATTATGTTAAAATTTAACGTCGATACTTCATATATTATTATGTTTCAATCCTCAATTAAGGGGTCCCTTCCCTCAGAAAATCGATTTTTTCCAAACAATATCGAAACTGAATTTTTACCACAGGAGGGTAGAGCAAAGCTTCCTCTTTCTGAGTATATATAGATTTTTAGAAAATGATCCGTTTTTCAAAGACTTGTCAGATCAGACTTTAGCTTGCCTACCATATTTTCCGAGAAATTTTTATGGTTTTTTTTAAAAGTTTTTCAGTTTTGAAAAAGTTCCCTTACTATCTAAAATATCATTGAATAGAGCATTTTAATATTAACCCACATATCAGATGACTTTAGTTTTAATGTATCTTTTACGCTCCTTAAAACAGTTTTCGAAAATTTATTGCGAATATAGCATTTTAACACGAGTTTTTTGAATTTGACCGAAAAAAATCACTTCTAAAACTTCTTTAATGTTTTTCTCAGGAAATGATTTCCAATCAAAAAAATTGGAGCTCCTCTCTCATTTTTCAAGCTATTACCAATATTTTTTTATTTTAAGGGTCTCGATCAGAGTAAATTTATGTCCGAGCCGATTTTTGAAAGTTGGTTCCTAGGCTGAGAAAAGTGGAATTTATTGTCGTTGGACTAACATTTTTTATGCTAGCTTTAAGACTCTTGCACTAAAATGCTCATAAAAAATAAATAGGGCGGAATTTCAAAATTCTGATTGGACAAGAGTTGTGTACTTACATATGGGTAAAATCATTCGTTAGCGACGTGACATCGTAAACTTGGAGTATGCATATCTCGGCACTATCAACTAGTTTAGGTGTGATTTTTGAATGGTGTACGAGTCTCTATTTACTCTAGATACTATGAAAAAAAACAATACTCTAGAGCTTTGTTCAGAGGAGTTATTAACGAAAAACTAGCGTTAGCGACGTGACACCAAAAAGGACATCAAAAGTCACTTGATATACTTTGGTTTTTAAAAACTTCTAAGTGTTGCACAATTGTCAAAAACTTAATACCCGATACTAGACACCACTCCTAAGGCCACCAAATCCCAGTGTAAAATTATTTTGAGAATGTTTAGGTTTTTAAAAAAATTAAATCTATTTGGCGTTAGCGACGTGACAACTTTGTTAGCGACGTGACTGAGTACGACTACACTACTGATCGAATGCTCTGGTAACGAACTGAAAAGTTCGAAATTGATTCCAAGGGGCTCATATTAATGGTAGGAGGTCCTAGAATAATACTAAGACAAACATTTCCATTTCCGCTCTGTCTAACGGCTCTGAAAGGTCGATTTTTTGGAAGGAACTTTTTGAAGTCCGATATCGATGAAAATTTTACCATATATGCGGCTCATACCCTAGAGCCAATCCTGAAGTTTTCAAGCTTTTTCCTCATTCGGTTCTCGAGATATTCGCTAATTACTTCTTAATTAGTTAATTATTAATTAGTTAATTAATTAATTATTAATCATATGAAAGAGCAGACAATTTTACATAAGCCTATGCAAAAACAATTCACTCAAAACATCTATACTGATAGAGAATTGCATTCAAATGCAATGGGGGAATGTCCCGTTTTCGCTGATTTTACCCATATACTTTAATTTGAAATTAGCCCGAACTCTCTAGCTCTTCTTGTGGCGGAGTTATGGGTGTGGGTGTGGGTGTGTGGGTGTGGGTGTGGGTGTG